TCCCGCAGAGGGTATTTGTGACGCCTGATTGTATGCTGTCATACCGGCACCGACCGCGGGCGCGGGATTGGGGGCGTAGCCCTGGTACTGGGGGAGAGCCTGGGAGAAGCTGAACACAGACAACAGGCAGAGTGCGGCGATGATGACCTGGATCATAAACTTGTATTAAGTAATGTCTAACAGCATCAACAGTTGGGTTGAAATAATCAAAGAGTTGACAAAATTAGAACTTTTCATACTTTTGAACATTGCATATATCTTTGAAATCATAATCCCATGTTAAAGCTATAGTTTTAGAATAAAAATGAGCCTAGTTTAATGGAACCACCAAATATGCGCTGATTAAAATAACTGATTTTTGTCAGATACGATTAGCCTATTCTCTGTTAGTTTCTGCTTCTGTGATAGTTAATAGGCATGCTATAGCTTACTAAAGGTAGTCCAATATTTTGAGTTTGGCTTGGTTAACTAGATGATGATGTATTGACAGAAATCATTACTTGTTATCAACGCACTCTTTAGGTAGCAAATTAATTAAATTACATTCGCCTTTATTTTTAAATAGACATAAGATTCAAATGTTAGAAATGGTAGTTCGACCAATACTCAAAGATTCATATAATGTTTAATGATACGGTACAAATTTTATTTTTTGTTGTTGAAGTTACATTATATTGTTTACTTGAATAACCTATATTCATAAAATTCTTTACCTTAAAAGTTATGTCTTTTATAAAAACCTCACAAATTAGTCCCATTGATTCGGAAGGTAAAGTTGTGACAATTGGGTAAGTTGGCTCTTAATTGAATTATACAACAGTTTAGTTTCAGTACTAGGCCTATTCTACTTAGGTTTTTAAGATGCCGCATTTATTGCATGTTGACTGTTTAAGTTTTAAAGCCCGTTTCTTTTACTTTTGGCCAAGGTCTTGATTGAAAAACTAAGATTTGTTTAAAGAAAATATTCTTTTAATTTTTTGAACTGATAACACGTATTCAAATCTTTATCTGATCACACATTCCCATCCAGAAATACAACACAGTATTTGGGACAGATTGTTTATAACAGATGTCTGTGAAATACACTAGAAACATTAGTTGATATATTCAAACTCAGCCTTGTCTAATACTGATTAAAACAAAGGGGAACTGCTAGGTAGTGTTAAGAAAACGTTCTTAACATGTTCATGAACGGAAATGCATTAAAATATAAAACCTGGGAAACTACATTGAAAATGTTATTGCGTCTATCTACACCTTTGGATTGAGGTGAAGGAAAATATTATAGTTCTATGGCATAAACCTCTGACATTAAAAAACATAATCACGGAATTCACAAAGTTTTACTCCATGACATGGTACATATATATAAAGTTATATCAATTTATTATTAGTTTCTTTTAAGATAACTTCATTATGTAAAAATGGGAATTTGTAACACCAGCAGGGCTGATTTTTAGAATTGATTTTATAAAGCTAAAAATGTAACATTCGTAATTTCAATTAATTAATAGAACGAAGGAGTTGTACAATTTTACAAGTTGGTTTAATAATAAGAATATGATAATATTATTTATACCTGCAATTAAATGGTTCAACATAATTTAATTCTTAAGACTAAATCCATGTTTCTGTGTCCTAAATCCAATCCTTTTACGTTGAATTGAGAAATGTACACTAACAAATGTAGATTAAAATGTTAAACATCTCATTTAATCTGTATGAAGCATATTATTATTAGTTCTTATTTGTCTTATCAAATATTTGTTCGTAGTAGATACATTCATTAGCTATTGAGTAAAATATGGTAACTATGATACGTATAAAATAATATTATGAATGTTTTTACACCCTTCCATTTCATATTGCAAAAGTCGATGAATAATGGATATAAAATTTAAGAATTATGTAAAAATTCATATACACAATATAACTTACACACTATAAAACTTTTGAGAACGTTAGCAAATAGTTTTTAATTATTTTCATAGGTCTTGCAAGATTTTTTTACTATAATAGTGCCAACCTATTTACTAAGTTGTAACAAAGAAATACTATTTTAGTTTAATTGTTAACGGTGTAATGTTATCTTTTGCTATTAGTCTTGGATAAAATATAAAATAGCATTGCAACCAAAAAGAGGTTATTAATAAGTAAATTTTAGAATATTTTAAGTTATATGAATTCAAACGGTGTTTTTGAAAAATAATTGAAAAAAAAACTAATAAACAACAGCTACATTTATGAAATATTAGACGAAGTAAAACTTTATTTACTTCAAAATGTTTATTTAACTATGAAAAAAGAATTCCCAACATACCTTGTTGTAAGCTGCCATTGCAGAAGATGTACTTGAGAGTTCTGAGCTTGCAACAAATAGTTTCCCCTTTATACAAGGGTCCAGGCCAATTAGATGTAAATTTGTATGATTAGAGATCGACGCTATTCCCTCTTGCGCAGATTGCCCATAATTTGAGTAATCGGGGCAGATTCTATAGATCAGCTGTTGTCAATCTTTTTTGGTCAGTTTAATATCATCTGCAAGCTTCAAGGTCGACTCTGAGGCCACAGAAGCGTCTAGAAAATATTACTATAGTTGTTTTTTGAATGGATGTCTGTGTTATCTTTTGTAACAGTTTACTGAATATACTTCTAATATACTTATCATCCTTTTCGACAGCCGTTGACAATTTTAAGGTTAGTTCTTTGTAGTTTATGTAGAAGGTGTTGTGTAGTTTATTTTTAGTTTCTTGTCATTAGACCTCATAACAATTTACACACACTCACAATCAATTTGTAAAAGATTGTTTGCCTTATGATTATATAATCAAAGAATAAAGTGCAAACTGGACTTAAAACAGTAAATCACAAATTCTTGAATTTTGTAGGGTAAATTAAACGGAAGATTAAAGAGAAACATTAAACCGTCTTCTGCACACTCAAAAGTCACCTTAATGGAGTCAATACAGGTGTTTTACTGCAGTTTAAGTTACCGTTTGGGTAATTATAGAACAGGTAGGTGATAATAGATTATAGAATCATAAACAATTGACGTTATGTGGTCTAATATATGGATGAAAAAAGAGCAAAAGATAATTATTGAGCAAACTTCTCAGTGTGTTCTCCTCTCAAAACTTTGCATTAGAGCCAATAGGATAATCATAATAATAGTGTGAAATAGATACCAGGATCTTGCCTGTATAGTGTATAATTTACAAACTATATTTTATCAGCAACACACATATTTGCTGGCTTTATTTAGTTCAACATTCGACAACTACATCTCAAGAAGGTAGGAGATCAACATCAAAGAGGTTAATTACATTTAAATTAATGATTTATGAAACTATAACTCTCTCAGACTCAATTTACACGTCCTAGACCAGAATTTAAATGTTATAGACGAGGCTATCATCAGGCTAATAAATTTAAAGCGGTGACGAAACTGTAAAAATTGTTATTTACTAGTCATGGGATGACTTACTGGCGTACAACATCAGTAATGACTGTTTTCCCTAGTCTCAGCACGCAGCAATTACCTAAGTTCAAGGTTTTACCACATAGTTCCCGGGGATCTCCTGTCTTCCGGACGATCATGACCTTGATGGTGTAGCGGGTAGGACGGCAATATGAGGATCTGAGAATTTCAAATGTTTTTGTGATATATTTTTTTTAAATATGTTTAACAAATGGTTAGCTATTTCGCTTACGTATGATATAGGCGTCGGACTGGTGTACCGTTTTTAGTGCCTCCAGAAAAAAATTGGAAAACTCTCAAAAATCTAAATTGTCAATAATTTTTTTCGTGATTGAATTTGCGAAGCAGTCCGATCTAGATTTTTAAATAAGTTTAACTAATTGTTATTATACAATAGTTTTTGATAATACAAAAGTTGTAGTACAAGAATAAGTAAAATTATCTAACGCCTTGAGTTATAAAGAGGCGTTTGATCAATAAAATAAGTTTTTTAATTTATGCTTCGTACAATAATGATAAGAGTAATAGTTTGAAATACACATCGGATATGAATTCACGGTACAGTTAACTAGAACGCCAATAGCCTGTGTTAACCCATATGAAACAAATCTGAATGCGTCTTTTGGATAGTGTTTCATTCGATGAATCGGGACTGACGATGGGTTGCGACAATCAAGTGGTCGGTGCGATCGACAACAATATTGACCCGATATTTATAAGCCTGGTGCGGCGATAGGAAAGTCCTTACCACCCATAAGACTCAATGTTTGTAAACATACTTATGTAAACATGCACGGGAAACGTATGTTCACTCGCTAAACGAACTGTACACTGCATTGAACCACTGTAAGACTTAAAGTTAAAGCTTAGGTTAAACATTGAGGGAAGTACTCAACTTTTGAACTACTATTTTGTTTTGAAACATACCTTGCACGTCCTACAAGTACTGCAATCCAGAGATGTCACCCAATCGTATGTTTTGATTGAAATCAGAAGATTACATTAGTTTGACATGAGCTATGCCACTGTAATTATCATTAACATAAAACCTAAAGCAGATTAGCCTAGCCACTCCTCTGAGACAAAAATAATGGTAACATAGCGATGGTGCCTATGACAGGTATTATACGAATACAGTAGTACCATATCGACGATACAAAGGTTCCTAAGGCAATTGTACCATGGGGATGTCACTATGGGTATAGTACCAAGAAGAAAGTGGGGTCATCGTAATACTAAAATGGTAATACTGCAGTACCATGGTAATGATAACATGAGGATTGTATCATTGAGATTGTCTCATGGATATGATCCCACAAGTGATTTTACAATACATACGACACCATGAGAGATGGTACCATATGAATGGCACGACGAGTATGGTACACCCTGAGGACGACACTCATGGGTCCAAGTCCACACCAGAGCCTAGGAAGTATTCGCAGTCCTAGGTTGTGGTTGCTACTCAAGGTCTTGCAATCCTCCTCGTCCCCAGGGTAGGCTTCAGCAATGTAATTACAGGGCGTCCTCCTATATAATCCCAACGTCCCTCGCCTCAGAGTTCAATCCTCCTCTCCTCAGTTACTAACATGGCTGCTCCCTCGGTGAGTACACTAGGATAGTGAGTGGGATGGTTAGAAGTACATACACCATATATATTACCATAGATTTCCCTTGTAGATTTTTTTTAAGTACACTAGGATTAGTGGGGGGGTTAAAAGGACTTCAGGTGGTTAATTGAACATGAAACAAATCTATGATGTAAAACTTCGTACACTATTTGGATGAACCATAGATTAAAGATCCCTTGTAGATTTATTTTTTTTAGTACACTAGGATTAGTGCGATGGTAAAAGTACTCCAGGCGATTGATGATCATGCAACAAAAATATTACTTAAAAAACTTCTAACACTTTTATAGTAGAACAAACCATAGATTAAAGATCCCTTGTAGATGTTTTATCCTTATTAGTACACTAGGATTAGTGGGATGGTTAGAAGTACTTCAGGTGGTTAAGTGAACATACACCAAATACATTATTTACAAACTTCATACACTATTTGGATGAACCAAAGATTAAAGATCCCTTGTAGATTTATTGCCCTAATAAGTACACTAGAATTAGTGAGATGGTTAGAAGTACTCCAGGCGATTGATGATTATGCAAAAAAATATTACTTTAAAAACTTCTTACACTTTTATAGTTGAATAAACCATAGATTAAAGATCCCTTGTAGATGTATTAATTTTATCAGTACACTAGCATTAGTGGGATGGTTAGAAGTATTTATATACAGGGTGTTTTTAAAAGAATGCCGGGATTTCAAACGGTTGTTGCTCGGGGAGTATTCAATATAGTTAGACGATTTAAACGTCAAATTGAAGGGAAAAGAATAACGTTTTTTCTCATTCTTTCATACAATTCGGAATGATTTAATAAAATTCTGATTTTCATCAATCTTATATGAGCGTAAAAATGGCAAAGTCTGACGCTTAGGGTGATCAGCGGGTTTATCTGATTTCTTAACTGAATATTTTTCGACACAAACACTCTATATTTTATAGATAATATCATAAAGTGACACATTTAGGTGTGTTGAACTGAAGACTTCGTCGGGCAACCGATTTTTTCGGGCCTCTGATGCAGAATTGTCGGATTTCTTCGACTATGTCATCGTTTGTTTTTAGCCGGCCAGGTGAATGTCTTTTCAAAACACTTCGGTGCCACGAAACTCATTAAACCAGCTTCAAGTTTCGTTATCATCAAGTAGATTTAAATTTAGTTTAATTTAGCAATGGATATAAACTCTGCGAACTACAGATTACAATGTGGGCCTTCTGTTGCGCCGTAAACGTCGTACTGGCGACTGGCGTCAGGCGTATGAGTCACAATAGCAGCCTATCACCCCGCTCCTTTTTTACGCATGCAAAGGTCAAAGTTCCCTCCCTTGCTACACGGGAAACAAAACTTAGTTATTGTAGCTTCGATTTGACGTATAAAACGTTTAGTTACTTTGAATAGTATCCAAGCAATTACCTTTTAAAATCCCGGCATTCTTTTAAAAACACCCTGTATTATATACAAGCTTCATACACTATTTGGATGAACCACAGACTGAACACCCATAGAAAATTATTACCTTTATGGAATCCCCTGTAGACAATTTTAAAAGTGTGGATATTGAGCTCCACAAGAGTGGTCATTTAATTGCATTCCAACAAATGGCCATACAGCCACAATAGTTTTATTTTGGTTTAAGTAGATGATGTTCAAATAAATTTTTTCACTACACTACTGTGAAACGACCTGTTTTCGTTTCATGTTTATCACCTGCAATAATTTCTCATTACATTGTGAACTATGGAAAAAAGAATGTTTACTATCTTTTTAGGATTTTGCTGACGTAAACAAAGAATTGTTGTTGTTTCATCAATTGTTTCAATTTGCAACAGACAAAACTGTACAATCAATGTAAATATTACCTTTAAATTGAAGGCGTAACCTACAAAATTCTATGAGTTTTGTAATGTTTTTAACTGTAATAAAGACTAATATCCAATGTCTGTTTTAGTTAATAAAATAATTAGTCTTTGTAGTGTAGTGAAAAGTAACGGTCAAACAGGAGTCAAAGTTGTCATTACATATTCTAGACCATATCAAATCTTGCACTTCAAAAATGGTCTCAGATATATAATTACTCACTTGTTATGAAATATATACTATTTTGACATTATAAGAACCAAAAGGGAGCGCGAATTTCAAAAATGTACCCAACATTAAGAGATAAACATCTTACACTCATCTTTATTCATACTTGGCTAAAATGCCTACCTTCGTATGCTCGCAATTTCAGTAAAAAGTATTAAACAAACAACAAAACTTTTACTTGGTATTAGAGCTCTTAAACATAACCAACGTAAAACGCACATGAAAATTAATAGGCTTTAGTTCTTATTCAGTTACGATGGACTGAGCAGTTTACTTGCACTATCCAAATTAAATTATTACACATACTCTGTTGTTTCTCTATAATCTTTTACTATTCTTGAAAGATCAGTTACGCAAAGTGAATGTATACAAGTATAGTTAGTTTTACATATTAGCCGGACCAATTGGATGTTCATAATGATGATACCCTCAACTTTATCGTATAATTCTTTTACTTGAATAACATGTTTTACTTGTCTCGTGCCTAAATATTATCTCCCCTCTTAAACATAAAAAGGATAAACCCCTTCTATATCATAACTCCATTGCAGCTCTATCATCCTAATGGGTCAGCTGAAGTGTTATGGTGTGTCTCTGTCCGGTGTCTTGAAAGTGCGTTCTGATGTTAACTAGGGTTGTTTTACCATCTTATAATATATTACGACCAACTGGATAACTTTTTACATTCTGTCCCTGTACGTAGTATGTAGAGAACGTCTAGCTTCGGAGTTTGAGTATCGGGTTGTAATATCCATTTTGAATCCCCTTGAACAAAAAAAGGGTTTTTTAAGCTGTCTATGTGTGTTAGGGGCTGTCTGTGTGTGTGCGTGGGAGTGTACAGAGCTACAGACTTGGCATATACCTAAAGTTCGATTTGTAAGAAATTTGGAATGATTTTTCTAATCTATAGTATCCAAAAGTTTTTATTTTTTCAATTTTGATTGTTTTGTTTATTTTTTCGTAAACTCATACAATAACGGAAAATCCGATTTTTCCAAAAACTACTCGAACGATTTTGATCAGAATATGGTATATTAAGTCATTTTAGCTCCAAACGAAATGCTAACCCCAATGCTGTAAAAGTATGGTTCAAACGTTATTGTAATTTTTGTGATTTTATCCATAATCTGTCATAGTTACTCCTATAACTTACCAATAAGGGTTTTTTAAAAGGTAAAGGCATAAAGTACGCGTCAGTTTGCTTACACCGTTTATTTTGTTGTATGTTAATTCCCTATGGCATTATAACCATAGAGTGTCGTCCAAATGTGTAAATTTTAATCTAAGATAGTTAATAAACTTGAGACTTCATGAGTGCACTGTTACGTAATATGGACAAGAAACACACATGTTTCCAACATCTGCAGAGTCACAGAATACAATTGTTGTGTCACAATAATTTATTATGGAATTATTGATTATAGGACATGTAACTAAGGGTCCAATGGTAGGCTTTTTGATTGTAACGAGGGTAACCGTAAACAGAGGGCCATAGAACCGGGTGTGTCAAAAAATAATTGATCAAAAGTAAATTGGCATAACACACAAAGGTAGCTTTGTATAACATATTTTCCCTAACTTAGTAAGTTTTTCCCTACCATGGTTTCACCGCTTAACCTCTTCATGTTTTCCGTTATTTCCTTGCAGCTCTGACCACACATTGTGGCACATTTCATTTATATTTAACTAAAAGTTTTCCCTTATCTTTGTTTTAAGTTCATCTATGTTTGAGATCGGTGAGAGATACACTTAATCTACCAATTGCAATTCCTCCAAGTCACAAACCCGTTTGTGAGAAGAACATTCATTCGATTAATCATAAATTCCAAAGTGTTTAATCCCAGACCAAAATTAATGATTTTGCCTTCCAAATTACCAAAAATAAGCGTTACAAAGATTAGCCTACATTTACAAGCAAAATTAAAATAATAACATTATGAATTTTTTCATCAGTTTCAAATGCCATGGTGTATGATTCTTGTCGAGAGGGTCCCTGGAAAATCGTTGTAAACTGTGAATCCCTTAAAAATGTTAGCATGTGTGTTAATTTATCAATTATTTCTAAAATACTTTTCTGGTCCCCAGGTGTACCTTCTAGCCGCACTGGTCGTCCTAAGTCTGGCGGCCGTCTGTACAGCCCAGTTCGGACTCAGCATAGGCGTCCCTGGCTATGGTGGATACGGAGGATACGGTCAATACGGTCAAGGCTACTATGGCAACCCCGGATACGGATACGGCAATCAAGGATACTACGGTAACCAAGGATACGGCAACCAAGGATACGGCAACGGATACGGCAACCAAGGATACGGATATGGTAACCGAGGATACGGCGGCTTCTACAGAAGATGAGCTCTGCAGCAGATGTTTAACTGTGATACAACTTTTCTCGTGAATTCAGCGTTACCCTGTGTGGTTGGAGTTTGCTGAATAAATTGAGAATTCGCAAAATGTTGATGTTGTTTTGTTACCTCCTTCACAACATTAGAGTCCTTTTTACTTTTGGATACTGCAGTATAAATCCCATGGATTATAGATGAAAATCATAGATGAATGATTGATAACTCACAAAATGTGCATATTCTAAAATTACACTACATACTACACTAGCATTAGTGGGATGGTTAGAAGTATTTATATACAGGGTGTTTTTAAAAGAATGCCGGGATTTCAAACGGTTGTTGCTCGGGGAGTATTCAATATAGTTAGACGATTTAAACGTCAAATTGAAGGGAAAAGAATAACGTTTTTTCTCATTCTTTCATACAATTCGGAATGATTTAATAAAATTCTGATTTTCATCAATCTTATATGAGCGTAAAAATGGCAAAGTCTGACGCTTAGGGTGATCAGCGGGTTTATCTGATTTCTTAACTGAATATTTTTCGACACAAACACTCTATATTTTATAGATAATATCATAAAGTGACACATTTAGGTGTGTTGAACTGAAGACTTCGTCGGGCAACCGATTTTTTCGGGCCTCTGATGCAGAATTGTCGGATTTCTTCGACTATGTCATCGTTTGTTTTTAGCCGGCCAGGTGAATGTCTTTTCAAAACACTTCGGTGCCACGAAACTCATTAAACCAGCTTCAAGTTTCGTTATCATCAAGTAGATTTAAATTTAGTTTAATTTAGCAATGGATATAAACTCTGCGAACTACAGATTACAATGTGGGCCTTCTGTTGCGCCGTAAACGTCGTACTGGCGACTGGCGTCAGGCGTATGAGTCACAATAGCAGCCTATCACCCCGCTCCTTTTTTACGCATGCAAAGGTCAAAGTTCCCTCCCTTGCTACACGGGAAACAAAACTTAGTTATTGTAGCTTCGATTTGACGTATAAAACGTTTAGTTACTTTGAATAGTATCCAAGCAATTACCTTTTAAAATCCCGGCATTCTTTTAAAAACACCCTGTATTATATACAAGCTTCATACACTATTTGGATGAACCACAGACTGAACACCCATAGAAAATTATTACCTTTATGGAATCCCCTGTAGACAATTTTAAAAGTGTGGATATTGAGCTCCACAAGAGTGGTCATTTAATTGCATTCCAACAAATGGCCATACAGCCACAATAGTTTTATTTTGGTTTAAGTAGATGATGTTCAAATAAATTTTTTCACTACACTACTGTGAAACGACCTGTTTTCGTTTCATGTTTATCACCTGCAATAATTTCTCATTACATTGTGAACTATGGAAAAAAGAATGTTTACTATCTTTTTAGGATTTTGCTGACGTAAACAAAGAATTGTTGTTGTTTCATCAATTGTTTCAATTTGCAACAGACAAAACTGTACAATCAATGTAAATATTACCTTTAAATTGAAGGCGTAACCTACAAAATTCTATGAGTTTTGTAATGTTTTTAACTGTAATAAAGACTAATATCCAATGTCTGTTTTAGTTAATAAAATAATTAGTCTTTGTAGTGTAGTGAAAAGTAACGGTCAAACAGGAGTCAAAGTTGTCATTACATATTCTAGACCATATCAAATCTTGCACTTCAAAAATGGTCTCAGATATATAATTACTCACTTGTTATGAAATATATACTATTTTGACATTATAAGAACCAAAAGGGAGCGCGAATTTCAAAAATGTACCCAACATTAAGAGATAAACATCTTACACTCATCTTTATTCATACTTGGCTAAAATGCCTACCTTCGTATGCTCGCAATTTCAGTAAAAAGTATTAAACAAACAACAAAACTTTTACTTGGTATTAGAGCTCTTAAACATAACCAACGTAAAACGCACATGAAAATTAATAGGCTTTAGTTCTTATTCAGTTACGATGGACTGAGCAGTTTACTTGCACTATCCAAATTAAATTATTACACATACTCTGTTGTTTCTCTATAATCTTTTACTATTCTTGAAAGATCAGTTACGCAAAGTGAATGTATACAAGTATAGTTAGTTTTACATATTAGCCGGACCAATTGGATGTTCATAATGATGATACCCTCAACTTTATCGTATAATTCTTTTACTTGAATAACATGTTTTACTTGTCTCGTGCCTAAATATTATCTCCCCTCTTAAACATAAAAAGGATAAACCCCTTCTATATCATAACTCCATTGCAGCTCTATCATCCTAATGGGTCAGCTGAAGTGTTATGGTGTGTCTCTGTCCGGTGTCTTGAAAGTGCGTTCTGATGTTAACTAGGGTTATTTTACCATCTTATAATATATTACGACCAACTGGATAACTTTTTACATTCTGTCCCTGTACGTAGTATGTAGAGAACATCTAGCTTCGGAGTTTGATTATTGGGTTGTAATATCCATTTTGGGTCCCCTTGAGCCCAAAAAAGGGTTTTTTAAGCTGTCTATGTGTGTTAGGGGCTGTCTATGTGTGTGCGTGGGAGTGTACAGAGATACAGACTCGGCATATAGCTAAAGTTCAATTCGTATGAAATTTGTAATGATTTTTCTAATCCATAGTATCTTAGAGTTTTTCATTTCTTTAAATTTTGATTTTTTTAGCGATTTTTCCATAAACTCATACAATAACGGAAAATCCGATTTTTCCAAAAACTACTCGAACGATTTTGATCAGAATATGGTATATTAAGTCATTTTAGCTCCAAAACGAAATGCTAACCCCAATGCTGTAAAAGTATGGTTCAAACGTTATTGTAATTTTTGTGATTTTATCCATAATCTGTCATAGTTACTCCCATAACTTACCAATAAGGGGGTTTTAAAAGGCAAAGGCATAAAGTATGTGTCAGTTTGCTTCCACAGTTTATTTTGTTTTATGTTAAATTCTCTATGGCATTATAACCATAGAGTGTCGTCCAAACGTGTAAATTTTAATCTAAGATAGTTGATTAACTTGAGACTTCATGAGTGCACTGGTTACGTAATATGGACAAGAAATACACATGTTTCCTACAACTGCAGAGTCACAGAATACAATTGTTGTGTCACAATAATTTATTATGGAATTAGCAACTAAGGGTTCAATGGTAGGCTTTTTGATTGTAACGAGGGTATAACCGTAAAAAGAGGGCCATAGAACCGGGTGTCTAAACAAATAATTGATCAATAGTATACTGGCATAACACACTAAGGTAGCTTTATATAAAATATTTTCCCTAACTTTCTAAGTTTTCCCCTACCATGGTTTCATCGCTTAACCTCTACATGTCCTCCGTTATTTCATTGAAGAAAGTCAACTCGGTGTTCCAGCTCTGACCACACATTGTGGCGCATTTCATTTATATTTATCTAAAAGTTTTCCCTTATCTTTGTTTTAAGTTCATTTACGTTTGAGATCGGTGAGGGATACACTTAATCTACCAATTGCAATTCCTCCAAGTCACAAACACGTTTGTGAGAAGAACATTATGATTAATCATAAATTCCAAGGTATTTAAAGGGTTATTTAAAGGGAAGGTTATTTAAAAAAAATAGCAAAACGGCCATTGGTGACCTGCATGTTCATAGGATACACTACCAACCACTTAGCTAAAAGATTCGCCCAATCCGATGATTTCGAGGTGTATGTCTAAACCAAGGATTATGAACACCTCACTATGCCCCAGTGGTTGTAGTATATCGCTACAAACACACAGGTCACCAATTATTTGCCACACAGGACGGGATTCGAACCCGAGCAGACGAATGCCACTGGCCAAGTGACACACGCCCTAGCCTTCTCGGCTATCTGTGCTTGAAGACTGGGGAGTCAAAACCCGGTATTTAAGCTGTCACCACCGATTGCGAACAGATGGCGCTGCAGATAGTTGTTCAATGCGTTACTAGGTAGCAGCACCAGCTAGTCACGGACTATTTAGATGCAATCTTTTAGTTTTAGTAGTAGTAAATGTGTTCCCGAGACTTTGCTGCAAAACATTAGTTTCCCTAAAATTGCTATATTACAATAACCTCGTCCAACTAAATCAGGGTTAAATTCGATATTACATTGTAAACTATATGTCTTTTGATTTTGTGAGATTTCGGTTTCAAATAATGCTATCAGAACATAAAAATTTATAGGAAAACCAGGAAAATTACTACAAAAACTAAGTTTTATTTGATGTTTACTACAAATACCGGGATTTATCTTTCTTATATATTTTCTTATTGTGTTATTATTCAAAATTAGCCTAATTAATAAAATAGTGACAACATGACAGTTAAAATTCAACAACGGGTAATGGAATTAAAAGGCAAACAAAAAAGTCTTACAAAATATGAATTATTGGCCTAGCACTGAAAGGGTTAAAAGAATGCCGGGATTTCAAACGGTTGTTGCTCGGGGAGTATTCAATATAGTTAGACGATTTAAACGTCAAATTGAAGGGAAAAGAATAACGTTTTTTCTCATTCTTTCATACAATTCGGAATGATTTAATAAAATTCTGATTTTCATCAATCTTATATGAGCGTAAAAATGGCAAAGTCTGACGCTTAGGGTGATCAGCGGGTTTATCTGATTTCTTAACTGAATATTTTTCGACACAAACACTCTATATTTTATAGATAATATCATAAAGTGACACATTTAGGTGTGTTGAACTGAAGACTTCGTCGGGCAACCGATTTTTTCGGGCCTCTGATGCAGAATTGTCGGATTTCTTCGACTATGTCATCGTTTGTTTTTAGCCGGCCAGGTGAATGTCTTTTCAAAACACTTCGGTGCCACGAAACTCATTAAACCAGCTTCAAGTTTCGTTATCATCAAGTAGATTTAAATTTAGTTTAATTTAGCAATGGATATAAACTCTGCGAACTACAGATTACAATGTGGGCCTTCTGTTGCGCCGTAAACGTCGTACTGGCGACTGGCGTCAGGCGTATGAGTCACAATAGCAGCCTATCACCCCGCTCCTTTTTTACGCATGCAAAGGTCAAAGTTCCCTCCCTTGCTACACGGGAAACAAAACTTAGTTATTGTAGCTTCGATTTGACGTATAAAACGTTTAGTTACTTTGAATAGTATCCAAGCAATTACCTTTTAAAATCCCGGCATTCTTTTAAAAACACCCTGTATTATATACAAGCTTCATACACTATTTGGATGAACCACAGACTGAACACCCATAGAAAATTATTACCTTTATGGAATCCCCTGTAGACAATTTTAAAAGTGTGGATATTGAGCTCCACAAGAGTGGTCATTTAATTGCATTCCAACAAATGGCCATACAGCCACAATAGTTTTATTTTGGTTTAAGTAGATGATGTTCAAATAAATTTTTTCACTACACTACTGTGAAACGACCTGTTTTCGTTTCATGTTTATCACCTGCAATAATTTCTCATTACATTGTGAACTATGGAAAAAAGAATGTTTACTATCTTTTTAGGATTTTGCTGACGTAAACAAAGAATTGTTGTTGTTTCATCAATTGTTTCAATTTGCAACAGACAAAACTGTACAATCAATGTAAATATTACCTTTAAATTGAAGGCGTAACCTACAAAATTCTATGAGTTTTGTAATGTTTTTAACTGTAATAAAGACTAATATCCAATGTCTGTTTTAGTTAATAAAATAATTAGTCTTTGTAGTGTAGTGAAAAGTAACGGTCAAACAGGAGTCAAAGTTGTCATTACATATTCTAGACCATATCAAATCTTGCACTTCAAAAATGGTCTCAGATATATAATTACTCACTTGTTATGAAATATATACTATTTTGACATTATAAGAACCAAAAGGGAGCGCGAATTTCAAAAATGTACCCAACATTAAGAGATAAACATCTTACACTCATCTTTATTCATACTTGGCTAAAATGCCTACCTTCGTATGCTCGCAATTTCAGTAAAAAGTATTAAACAAACAACAAAACTTTTACTTGGTATTAGAGCTCTTAAACATAACCAACGTAAAACGCACATGAAAATTAATAGGCTTTAGTTCTTATTCAGTTACGATGGACTGAGCAGTTTACTTGCACTATCCAAATTAAATTATTACACATACTCTGTTGTTTCTCTATAATCTTTTACTATTCTTGAAAGATCAGTTACGCAAAGTGAATGTATACAAGTATAGTTAGTTTTACATATTAGCCGGACCAATTGGATGTTCATAATGATGATACCCTCAACTTTATCGTATAATTCTTTTACTTGAATAACATGTTTTACTTGTCTCGTGCCTAAATATTATCTCCCCTCTTAAACATAAAAAGGATAAACCCCTTCTATATCATAACTCCATTGCAGCTCTATCATCCTAATGGGTCAGCTGAAGTGTTATGGTGTGTCTCTGTCCGGTGTCTTGAAAGTGCGTTCTGATGTTAACTAGGGTTATTTTACCATCTTATAATATATTACGACCAACTGGATAACTTTTTACATTCTGTCCCTGTACGTAGTATGTAGAGAACATCTAGCTTCGGAGTTTGATTATTGGGTTGTAATATCCATTTTGGGTCCCCTTGAGCCCAAAAAAGGGTTTTTTAAGCTGTCTATGTGTGTTAGGGGCTGTCTATGTGTGTGCGTGGGAGTGTACAGAGATACAGACTCGGCATATAGCTAAAGTTCAATTCGTATGAAATTTGTAATGATTTTTCTAATCCATAGTATCTTAGAGTTTTTCATTTCTTTAAATTTTGATTTTTTTAGCGATTTTTCCATAAACTCATACAATAACGGAAAATCCGATTTTTCCAAAAACTACTCGAACGATTTTGATCAGAATATGGTATATTAAGTCATTTTAGCTCCAAAACGAAATGCTAACCCCAATGCTGTAAAAGTATGGTTCAAACGTTATTGTAATTTTTGTGATTTTATCCATAATCTGTCATAGTTACTCCCATAACTTACCAATAAGGGGGTTTTAAAAGGCAAAGGCATAAAGTATGTGTCAGTTTGCTTCCACAGTTTATTTTGTTTTATGTTAAATTCTCTATGGCATTATAACCATAGAGTGTCGTCCAAACGTGTAAATTTTAATCTAAGATAGTTGATTAACTTGAGACTTCATGAGTGCACTGGTTACGTAATATGGACAAGAAATACACATGTTTCCTACAACTGCAGAGTCACAGAATACAATTGTTGTGTCACAATAATTTATTATGGAATTAGCAACTAAGGGTTCAATGGTAGGCTTTTTGATTGTAACGAGGGTATAACCGTAAAAAGAGGGCCATAGAACCGGGTGTCTAAACAAATAATTGATCAATAGTATACTGGCATAACACACTAAGGTAGCTTTATATAAAATATTTTCCCTAACTTTCTAAGTTTTCCCCTACCATGGTTTCATCGCTTAACCTCTACATGTCCTCCGTTATTTCATTGAAGAAAGTCAACTCGGTGTTCCAGCTCTGACCACACATTGTGGCGCATTTCATTTATATTTATCTAAAAGTTTTCCCTTATCTTTGTTTTAAGTTCATTTACGTTTGAGATCGGTGAGGGATACACTTAATCTACCAATTGCAATTCCTCCAAGTCACAAACACGTTTGTGAGAAGAACATTATGATTAATCATAAATTCCAAGGTATTTAATCCCAGACCAAAATTAATGATTTTGCCTTCCATATTACCAAAAATAAGCGTTACAAAGATTAGCCTACATTTACAAGCAAAATTAAAATAATAACATTATGATTTTTTTCATCAGTTTCAAATGCCATGGTGTATGATTCTTGTCGACAGGGTTCCTGGAAAATTGTTGTAAACTGTGAACCCCTTAAAAATGTTAGCATGTGTGTGAATTTATCAATTATTTCTAAAAATACTTTTCTGGTCCCCAGGTGTACCTTCTAGCCGCACTGGTCGTCCTAAGTCTGGTGGCCGTCTGTACAGCACAGTTCGGACTCAGCATAGGCGTCCCTGGCTATGGTGGATACGGAGGATACAATCAATACGGTCAAGGCTACTACGGCAACCCCGGATACGGATACGGCAACCAAGGATACTACGGTAACCAAGGATATGGCAACCAAGGATATGGCAACGGATACGGCAACCAAGGATACGGATATGGTAACCGAGGATACGGTGGCTTCTACAGAAGATGAGCTCCGCAGCAGATGTTTAACTGTGATACAACTTTTCTCTTGGATTCAGTGTTACCCTATGTGGTTGGAGTTTGCTGAATAAATTGAGAATTCGCAAAATGTTGATGTTGTTTTGTTACCTCTTTCACAGCATTAGAGTCCTTTTGACTTTTGGATACTGCAGTAGAAATCCCATCTGTATAGATCAGTTGTAATTTGTTTGAAATAAAAACATAGATGAATGTCCCACTCACAAAATGTACATATTCCAAAATTATGTATATATATTTTTTGACGTAAATATGTTATTGTTATCAAGGATTTGTCCTTTTATTCTTACCTGGTAAAGAAGTTGGCGTAATCGACAGAAATCAGTAATTTAGATCAGAACACTCTGTCGGTGGCTTACTTCTACTACGACCATTTTTATTAAAAAAACCGGAGATGACTTTAACAAGGGGGTGGAATGTCTAGTCTATAATAAGATATTAGTAGTTGTAACTGTGCACCAAACGTGCTGCATTAGAATGTAAGGAAGAGATAAATGTCCAAATATTTAAAAGAAACTGTGGTTTTGTTAACTAGCAGGTCCTAAATGCGACAAAAAAACAAGTATTTTCTTTCGTATATTTTTACAACCCGTTTCTGTGATTTATTTAGGCCAGCTTATTGCCAGTTGTAAACTGTCTGAATACAAAAATAATGTTAAAGTTAAAGTTGTCTCACTTTTGCCATATAATTCTAGTGTAAACCTGATGGATGTATACTAATAATCCAAAACGCAAATGAAGAATATGAATATAATGAAAATTGAAAGCCGAATATAATGATTCCTGGTCCAGTGTTCAACCATTAAAAAGTGCTAAACATTTGTAACGACTGAGAGCCAACTTCCTATTCAAATAGTGCAATTTAAATTATTTGAAGAAAAAAGTAGTAGGCCTTACATGTGGGAAGGTTACATTAGGAATTACATGTAGGAATTACATTAAAGGGAAGGTTATTTAAAAAAAATAGCAAAACGGCCATTGGTGACCTGCATGTTCATAGGATACACTACCAACCACTTAGCTAAAAGATTCGCCCAATCCGATGATTTCGAGGTGTATGTCTAAACCAAGGATTATGAACACCTCACTATGCCCCAGTGGTTGTAGTATATCGCTACAAACACACAGGTCACCAATTATTTGCCACACAGGACGGGATTCGAACCCGAGCAGACGAATGCCACTGGCCAAGTGACACACGCCCTAGCCTTCTCGGCTATCTGTGCTTGAAGACTGGGGAGTCAAAACCCGGTATTTAAGCTGTCACCACCGATTGCGAACAGATGGCGCTGCAGATAGTTGTTCAATGCGTTACTAGGTAGCAGCACCAGCTAGTCACGGACTATTTAGATGCAATCTTTTAGTTTTAGTAGTAGTAAATGTGTTCCCGAGACTTTGCTGCAAAACATTAGTTTCCCTAAAATTGCTATATTACAATAACCTCGTCCAACTAAATCAGGGTTAAATTCGATATTACATTGTAAACTATATGTCTTTTGATTTTGTGAGATTTCGGTTTCAAATAATGCTATCAGAACATAAAAATTTATAGGAAAACCAGGAAAATTACTACAAAAACTAAGTTTTATTTGATGTTTACTACAAATACCGGGATTTATCTTTCTTATATATTTTCTTATTGTGTTATTATTCAAAATTAGCCTAATTAATAAAATAGTGACAACATGACAGTTAAAATTCAACAACGGGTAATGGAATTAAAAGGCAAACAAAAAAGTCTTACAAAATATGAATTATTGGCCTAGCACTGAAAGGGTTAAAAGAATGCCGGGATTTCAAACGGTTGTTGCTCGGGGAGTATTCAATATAGTTAGACGATTTAAACGTCAAATTGAAGGGAAAAGAATAACGTTTTTTCTCATTCTTTCATACAATTCGGAATGATTTAATAAAATTCTGATTTTCATCAATCTTATATGAGCGTAAAAATGGCAAAGTCTGACGCTTAGGGTGATCAGCGGGTTTATCTGATTTCTTAACTGAATATTTTTCGACACAAACACTCTATATTTTATAGATAATATCATAAAGTGACACATTTAGGTGTGTTGAACTGAAGACTTCGTCGGGCAACCGATTTTTTCGGGCCTCTGATGCAGAATTGTCGGATTTCTTCGACTATGTCATCGTTTGTTTTTAGCCGGCCAGGTGAATGTCTTTTCAAAACACTTCGGTGCCACGAAACTCATTAAACCAGCTTCAAGTTTCGTTATCATCAAGTAGATTTAAATTTAGTTTAATTTAGCAATGGATATAAACTCTGCGAACTACAGATTACAATGTGGGCCTTCTGTTGCGCCGTAAACGTCGTACTGGCGACTGGCGTCAGGCGTATGAGTCACAATAGCAGCCTATCACCCCGCTCCTTTTTTACGCATGCAAAGGTCAAAGTTCCCTCCCTTGCTACACGGGAAACAAAACTTAGTTATTGTAGCTTCGATTTGACGTATAAAACGTTTAGTTACTTTGAATAGTATCCAAGCAATTACCTTTTAAAATCCCGGCATTCTTTTAAAAACACCCTGTATTATATACAAGCTTCATACACTATTTGGATGAACCACAGACTGAACACCCATAGAAAATTATTACCTTTATGGAATCCCCTGTAGACAATTTTAAAAGTGTGGATATTGAGCTCCACAAGAGTGGTCATTTAATTGCATTCCAACAAATGGCCATACAGCCACAATAGTTTTATTTTGGTTTAAGTAGATGATGTTCAAATAAATTTTTTCACTACACTACTGTGAAACGACCTGTTTTCGTTTCATGTTTATCACCTGCAATAATTTCTCATTACATTGTGAACTATGGAAAAAAGAATGTTTACTATCTTTTTAGGATTTTGCTGACGTAAACAAAGAATTGTTGTTGTTTCATCAATTGTTTCAATTTGCAACAGACAAAACTGTACAATCAATGTAAATATTACCTTTAAATTGAAGGCGTAACCTACAAAATTCTATGAGTTTTGTAATGTTTTTAACTGTAATAAAGACTAATATCCAATGTCTGTTTTAGTTAATAAAATAATTAGTCTTTGTAGTGTAGTGAAAAGTAACGGTCAAACAGGAGTCAAAGTTGTCATTACATATTCTAGACCATATCAAATCTTGCACTTCAAAAATGGTCTCAGATATATAATTACTCACTTGTTATGAAATATATACTATTTTGACATTATAAGAACCAAAAGGGAGCGCGAATTTCAAAAATGTACCCAACATTAAGAGATAAACATCTTACACTCATCTTTATTCATACTTGGCTAAAATGCCTACCTTCGTATGCTCGCAATTTCAGTAAAAAGTATTAAACAAACAACAAAACTTTTACTTGGTATTAGAGCTCTTAAACATAACCAACGTAAAACGCACATGAAAATTAATAGGCTTTAGTTCTTATTCAGTTACGATGGACTGAGCAGTTTACTTGCACTATCCAAATTAAATTATTACACATACTCTGTTGTTTCTCTATAATCTTTTACTATTCTTGAAAGATCAGTTACGCAAAGTGAATGTATACAAGTATAGTTAGTTTTACATATTAGCCGGACCAATTGGATGTTCATAATGATGATACCCTCAACTTTATCGTATAATTCTTTTACTTGAATAACATGTTTTACTTGTCTCGTGCCTAAATATTATCTCCCCTCTTAAACATAAAAAGGATAAACCCCTTCTATATCATAACTCCATTGCAGCTCTATCATCCTAATGGGTCAGCTGAAGTGTTATGGTGTGTCTCTGTCCGGTGTCTTGAAAGTGCGTTCTGATGTTAACTAGGGTTATTTTACCATCTTATAATATATTACGACCAACTGGATAACTTTTTACATTCTGTCCCTGTACGTAGTATGTAGAGAACATCTAGCTTCGGAGTTTGATTATTGGGTTGTAATATCCATTTTGGGTCCCCTTGAGCCCAAAAAAGGGTTTTTTAAGCTGTCTATGTGTGTTAGGGGCTGTCTGTGTGTGTGCGTGGGAGTGTACAGAGATACAGACTCGGCATATAGCTAAAGTTCAATTCGTATGAAATTTGTAATGATTTTTCTAATCCATAGTATCTTAGAGTTTTTCATTTCTTTAAATTTTGATTTTTTTAGCGATTTTTCCATAAACTCATACAATAACGGAAAATCCGATTTTTCCAAAAACTACTCGAACGATTTTGATCAGAATATGGTATATTAAGTCATTTTAGCTCCAAAACGAAATGCTAACCCCAATGCTGTAAAAGTATGGTTCAAACGTTATTGTAATTTTTGTGATTTTATCCATAATCTGTCATAGTTACTCCCATAACTTACCAATAAGGGGGTTTTAAAAGGCAAAGGCATAAAGTATGTGTCAGTTTGCTTCCACAGTTTATTTTGTTTTATGTTAAATTCTCTATGGCATTATAACCATAGAGTGTCGTCCAAACGTGTAAATTTTAATCTAAGATAGTTGATTAACTTGAGACTTCATGAGTGCACTGGTTACGTAATATGGACAAGAAATACACATGTTTCCTACAACTGCAGAGTCACAGAATACAATTGTTGTGTCACAATAATTTATTATGGAATTAGCAACTAAGGGTTCAATGGTAGGCTTTTTGATTGTAACGAGGGTATAACCGTAAAAAGAGGGCCATAGAACCGGGTGTCTAAACAAATAATTGATCAATAGTATACTGGCATAACACACTAAGGTAGCTTTATATAAAATATTTTCCCTAACTTTCTAAGTTTTCCCCTACCATGGTTTCATCGCTTAACCTCTACATGTCCTCCGTTATTTCATTGAAGAAAGTCAACTCGGTGTTCCAGCTCTGACCACACATTGTGGCGCATTTCATTTATATTTATCTAAAAGTTTTCCCTTATCTTTGTTTTAAGTTCATTTACGTTTGAGATCGGTGAGGGATACACTTAATCTACCAATTGCAATTCCTCCA